CCTGGTATCAAAGATGAAATACTATGTTTCTACCAAAAAAGATTCTTCCCGAATTTCCTTTGTCATCCCTATTCTCTCATTTAGCCACTTTTTTTTTAATTGGAATAATTTAAACAACTTCTTTTCCTTCATTATCTTCATTAAATAACATCACCATCTTTTCTCCTTATTCAGAAGAGTTTTAAAAGTCACTCCTTGGGAAGGCAGAGAGCAGGAGAGGAAGAAAGGGAGCATTAACCCAGAAACTTATATGCATATATGCATAACCCATGGACACAGACTAGTGTGGTGAAGGCCTGGAGGGGAGGGTGCCAGATGGAGGGGGACAATGGGGGAAAAAACAAAGGGGACATCTGTAACACTATCAACAATAAAGATAAATTTTTATTTTTTTATTTCTTAAAAATATTTTTTTGTATTGATTTCAGAGAGGAAGGGAGAGGAAGGGATAGATAAAAACATCAATGATGAGCCCTACCCATTTTGGCTCAGTAGATAGAATGGTGGATTGAAGGGTCCCGGGTTCGATTCCTGCCAAGGGCACATGCCTGGGTTGCGGGTTCGATCCCCAGTGTGGGGCGTGCAGAAGGCAGCCAATCAATGATTCTCTCTATAAATATCAATGATGAGAAAGAATCATTGATTGGCTGCCTTCTGCACACCCCACACTGGGGATCGAACCCGCAACCCAGGCATGTGCCCTGATGGGAATCGAACCATGCATGACTTCCTGGTTCATAGATCCATGTTCAATCACTAAGCCACTCTGGCCAGGCTAAAGGTAATTTTGTTTTTTAAGTAACTCCTCTATTCTGAACCTCTTAAGAACAGAATAAAATCCAAAAGTTGATATATAAATACACAAATGTCCATAAGAATTTTATCATGCCAGAAACTAGTTTCTATAATAGTCTTAAATTTTTTTTCCCAAATGATTAGCAGAAATCTATAAGCATGTAGGACAGATTTGCCTCCAGGCAATTCTAAAACATTTAGATATGCTTAAACATGACTGGGGGGGGGGGGGGGGTGCGGAATCGTGGATTTTAAGGAAACATAAAGCCTAAGCCAGGGGTCCTCAAACTACAGCCCGCGGGCCACATGCAGCCCGCCGGCACGCCGGGTGTTTTTGCCGCCGCTGCCTGTCCTGCTTAGCAGTCGACTCGTCCAGGGCCCGCAGTGCACATGTATGGAATGTCTGAGGGACAGTGAACGGGCCGGGCCCCCTGTTTAAAAAGTTTGAGGACCTCTGGCTAAGCATTCAAGCTTTGAAAATTCACCATATAATAAGACCATCATTCATATGAGACAAAAGCCAGGTTTTGGAATTACACCTCCAAGGTTCAAATTCTACCTCAGCCAACTGTGTCCATGAGCAACTTACTTAACTGCCGAGTTTTGTTTCCTCTTCTGTAAAATTGGGACGTTTTGCCTAGTGTTACATGGATAAGAGGTAATATATGAAAACCATATAAGGCATATAAAAGTTCAATAAACTGTAGCAATTATCAAAACCTAACATCCTGCCGAAACTGGTTTGGCTCAGTGGATAGAGCGTCGGCCTGCGGACTGAAAGGTCCCAGGTTCGATTCCGGTCAAGGGCATGTACCTGGGTTGCGGGCACGTCCCTAGTAGGGGATGTGCAGGAGGCGGCTGGTCGATGCTATCTCTCTCCCTTCCTCTCTGTGGAAAATCAATAAAATATATTTTTAAAAACAAACAAACAAAAAAAAAAAACAAACCTAACATCCTGGAGCCACGAAGAAAAAAAAAAATGTAGACAGAAGGGAACATTGGGTACTTAAACAGAATGTGTTTAAAAAGCTGATACACAAAACAAATAAAACTAAAAGGTGAACTCTACATATACCCTAGAAGCAAGCAAATTCTGCCAACTGGCCAAAAGAATGGTTAGAATTCTCTAGACTAAGTGTAGAGTTAGCAGTCTATTTTCCAACCAACCAAATGGCTTGCAGAGGTAGAGGGAGAAATGGGAGAACAAAATCTTCAGAAAGTTCTGCTTCAAATATAGATTCAGTGGAGCACATTTCAAGTTCACCTAAGAGAAACATGGAGCGAAACTAAGTAGCAGCTCAACTACCCCTAAAGCAGGGGTGGGAACCTTTTTTCTGCCAGGGGCCATTTGGATATTTATAACAACATCTGCAGGCCATACAAAATTATCAACTTAACAACTAGCCTGCTCTATTTGGCCAAACATTTAATTAACTCACCCCTAATGCTTTGGCAGGGCCAGGCCAAATATTTCAGGCAGGCCTTATAGGGCCCTCGGACTTCCCTCACCCCTGCCTTAAAGGGAGAGCGAACTTCAGAGTTCTTCCCACCTCCAGGAGGAACTCTTTACTCGAAAAAGTAACTCTCTATTCCAGTCAGTATTGTCACACATTCAGCAGCACCTATTGTGTCAAGTACTGTGCTAACGACACAGAAATAGATAAGATGCAGTCTCTGCCAACACATTGAAAGGAAGAAACAGGGTAAGAAAAATCAAATCTTAGATATCATACAGTTAATATATAACAAGTATAGAGCAGTAAACACAGTAACAACTTTCCTCTTAGCCTCTCCAATCGAAAATATGGCAGTGTAATCCCTCCCACCTCCTACATGAATGCTATAAAATAAAGACCAAACCTAACAGCATGGTCTACAAGGCCCAACATGGTCTGGCCCCTTCCTACCTCTCCAGCACCAACCACTCTCTGTACCTGAGCCGCAGAGTTTTTTCCCCCAGTTCTACCTTGTCATTCCCTCTGGCCACAGGATCTTTGCACATGCTGTTCTCGCACATATAACACTCATGTCTTCTATCTTTGCCTAGAAAAGCCACTTGGTCCTTCAAAATTTGTTTAACTTTTCACTTCCAAAGGAAAACACTCCCTTACCTTAGGCAGTATAGTATGATTAAGAGCACAGGTTCTGGAGTTCTAGCTCTGACACTTACTAGTGCTGTCGTTTTGAGCAAGTTGCATAACACTGTGTGCCTCAATTTCTTCATCTGTATATGGGGTTATATGGCTGTTGTGAGGACTGAATAAATTAATTCAAGTAAAACATCGTAACAGTATCGAGGATATACACCTCAATATCTTGACTTGGTCAAATCCCTCGGTTCTATTTTCTTATATTACCCTGACTTCTCCCCTACCATTTTATACTTGTCTTTCCCTAATGGACTAAAATTTCTAATAAAGCAGAAACTGTTGAAAAGGCGAGGGCTGTGCCCTCCATCTTACCCTGGGTCCTCCATTTTTGGGCAGAGCCATGTGCTCGGCAAGGCTTCTTCCCGGAAGCCCAAGCCTCTGCTAGCCACGCCCAGGATTTCTTTACAAGACACCGACTTGCGCCTGGCCAATCGGCAGGACCCACAGTCACCTCTCCACCCCCCTATAAAACTCCTCTTCCCATCGGGCTAGGTCTCTCTCTACCACCTGCTGCTGTGTCAGTAAGGAGGGTAGGGGACCCAGACCCGGGTTTGAATAAAAGACTCTTTGCTTTTGCATTGGACTCGCTGGCTCCCTGGTGGGCTCTTGGGAATCTTGAAATCTGGGCATAACACTGTATTTTTTCCCCTAGAGATAGAACAAAATAGTATTCAATAAAGATTTATTGGGGGGGGGGAGTAACTAAAAGGAAGAAGCTAAGGCCCAACGAAGTGACTTGTCTCATTAACACCATACAATACAAAACTTAACCTATGTGACTCCAATGCCCAGACTTTTCCACTACACCAGGCTGCCTCCTATGTAAATGTAACAGTCTTGTAACTGCTGGATGGGGCCAAGGAAGATTAAAAGATTAAAAACAAAATTACCAAACAATAGATTGCACCAACACAAAGAACATTGTGTTCTTTGAGATAGCATTCTGAAGTTGACACAAAGCTGACACAGGTGCAGGCTTACTTCCATTGCGGAGAACAGCTCCAACTCTCACACTGCTCCCGAGGATTTCCTCCCAGGTTGAGCAATGAGGGAGCAGGATGGCCCGGGTCATCCCCAAAGTGCCTTCCCATCCTAAAGGTCAGTGACCATAAATCAAGTTATGTGTCAATTTTTAAAATAATTTTTAAAAGAAGTTTAGCAAGCAGACTGAACCAGGTGGCAGGTGGTTGTCAGGAAGACCTGCGTTTTCCAGAATTTGTTTCAAGGGACTTAATAAACCCTATTAAAGTTAAGTTGGGAAGTCTGTGCTTAGAAATTATGAGACTCCATGTGGAGAAAAGTGTTGACAGCCACACACACACACTCCGACATCTGAGTCAAGGCTGCCACCTGAAACCCTAGGACACACAGAACGGTGGCGGAAAAAAAAAAAATGTGTTTAAAATGTGTTTCAGAAAAGTACAAAAGGCAGGCTGACCACTACTACATGCAAAAGAAAAACAAGTTCACAGGATGCATCTGCTGTATACGGTGATGTACTACAATTAAAATAGGCCTTCATCTCAGACGTAAAAGGCGGTCATCTTGACATCGTGTGACACTTTAAAAGTTGAGAGAAACTTGCAATCCTAACTCTCCTTCAACAGCAATCCCCCGTGTCCCTTCCAGCAGGAAAGAGCCACGAGAACAGGGAAACTGTACGGACCATTAAAAACACACCCTGGAAAGGTCAAGGAAAGCCAAAACCTTAGGGCCAAAGAGGGGGTGCACAGGAAATGCAGGTACACACGGCCAGAGATCTGTCAGCCGCCGGGAGCGAGCAGAACGCAGCCTGCCGGCTCCCCGGCCCCGCCGCCCTCCGCGACCCCGAGCGCCCGCGGCAGCAGGACGAGGACGCCGGCTCTGCCCCGCCCCCACGCGCAATCTGCAGGGGGAGGGAATCAGCACCCCGCCCCGCCGCCGCCGCGGGATCGGGGCCGCGGGGGGCGCGGGAGCCCCCGGGGCGCTGGCCGCCGCACGGACCACCGCCGGGCGGAGCGGGGCTGGGAGCCCGGGGAATCCCAGACCCGCGGGAGCCCCGCCGTCGCTCCTCACCTTCAGGGTCCACAGCGCGGCGCTCTGCATCAGCTGCTGCGGCGACCGCCGCGCACGCCGTCCCGCCGCGACCAGCGAGCCCAAGCTCACCCAGAGCCCCGCCATTGTCGCCCCCGCCGACCGGCGCTCGGTTGACCTCTCACCTCGCCGAAGGGGGCGGAAGAGGGGAGCGCCTACGCTTCGGCCAATCAGCGGCCGGGGATCCGAGGCCCCGCCCCCGTCGCGCGGGAGGGGCGGGAGCAGCGCTGGACCAACCACGGGAGCCTGGAGCGGGACTCGGGCGGGATGCGTGCTGGGACCTGGAGGGACGTGGGAGGGCTGGGGCGCGGCCCGCGGGCACCCGGCGTCGTTCTGTCCTCCCGACTGAACCCCGGGAGGGAGCGAGGCGGGGAAGGCCCAGGGGTTCAGTCCACTCTTCTTGAGGTCACCCCGTGCTGGACCAGCATCCACTTAGCAACCCACCTGCAGCCAGGCCACTTCATGCCCGGTCACCTCCGCCCATGGCCACCCTGCAGTCCTGAGGGTTCTACACTGCACACCTGTGCTCAAACTGTGTTCCTGTGTGTGTGAAAGCATAAAGGGAAAAGTACGAAACTGAGGGAAGGTTTCGGACACGTGCGGTAATGTAGAGAACGCTCTGGGTCCGGGAAAGGGGATCTGAGCTCTCCTATCTCTGCCTCATAATACTTGCAAATCAGGGGAATTAGCCGTAACTAGTCAGTTTATGTTGCTTGCCAGCGGGCACCCTTACTAGTTCAACTGCTAAGGGCCAGACCTATGCTAGATATCTCAAATTCTGTCTCATTTAATCTTTATAAGAACCCTAATGGCAAAAAAAAATAAAATACACCCTAATGGCCCATACATTATTCCCACTCTGAGAAACTGAACTTAAAAGTCACTCATCTAGTAGATGGTGAAACTGGGATTCGAACCCCTGTCTGGCTGTCTTCAAGGACTAGGCTTTTGTTTGTTTTATTATGGAAGTTTTGTAACATATACCAAAGAGAGAAAAACCATATAATTATCACCCAGGCACCCATCACACAGCTTCAATAAATCAATATTTTGTCAATCTTGTTTCATCTAGTCCCCCTTTTTTGCAAATCTCAAACATTAAATAGGGCAGAATCAGGAGCTCTGCTCTCAACTATTTTGCTACTATTACAGAGTCACCTTGAATGAGTTACAAAGGTAGGAGGGATGACCTTGAATTTGATACAGTATGGCAAATGCCAAAGGAGATACAAACAAAATGTTTGGGGATATCAAAGCAGTGACATTTAGTGGGACTTTAATGTGTAAGTAGGAACTCTCATGACAGGCAAAATAAAAAGAAATATCAGTTCCACAAGATTTCTCACTTTGGGATCTATGCTGGACTCATTTCCTACCCAGAAAACCTGCTTTGCTTTTCTCTTTCTTTTTCTCCCTCCCATTTTTACCCTTTGGAAGTTACTGTGGTTGTTTTGCTTGTCTTAGCTACAGTAGCCAAATATGTGCCCTAACTAATAGAACACGACTATGTATCTTAGTCCTCTCCATTTAAAGGTATAGGTTCTAAGGAAAATAGCTAAGATACCTGAGGACATGAGCAAGAAATAAACTTCTTATTTTCCTAGGCCATCAAGATTTGGGGATTAGAGTAGTTAGTCTACCCATCCTAATACCGTATCAATAGAGGAAAATTAAATGGAGTAAAAAGGACTTTTGTATGTATCAGATGACAAAAGGTAATATTTAACAGTAAAAGAGATTTGCCATTGTGGCTCAGTTGGTTGAGCATCATCCCATGCATCAAAAGGTTGCATGTTCAATTCCCGGTCAGGGGGCATGCAGGAGGCAGCCAGTTGATGTTTCTCTTACACATCAGTGTTTCTCTCTTTCCCTCTCCCTTCCTCTCTCCCTAAAATCAATAAAAACATTTTTTAAAAGATTAAAATAGATTCTTTTTATGAAAATGGAAAGAATATTTAACACTAAATTACATAATTCATAAATTTTGACAATGAAGACCTCTTCAAAATCAAAGTGTTAAAATATTTTTCATGCCGGTTTGGTTCAGTGTAGGCCTGCGGACCAAAGTGTAGGATAGACCAAAGTGCGGACCAAAGGGTCCTGGGTTTGATTCCGGTCAAGGGCACATACCTTGATTGCAGGCTTCTCCCTGGCCTGGGCCCTGGTTGGGGCCCAGGCAAAAGGCAACCAATCGATGTGTTTCTCTCACATTGATGTTTCTCTGTCTTTCCCTCTCTCTTCCACTCTCCCTAAAAATCAATAGAAAAATATCCTCAGGTAAGGATTAACAAAATACATACTAGTATATACATATATATATATATTTTCACTATTACTATGAATAAATTAGACCACTGCTTTAAAAAATTTGTCAGAATATCACCTCACACCTGTCAAAATGGCTATCATCAATAAATGCTGGGGTCCAACCCCAGCAGGTCCAGGGGTCCCCAAAGGTGTGGACGGAGTTGGCGAAGAAGGAATGACACAGAGTCAGCGTTCAGTTGATCAGCATGGTTGGGTTCTCTTGCCTGGTTCTATTGCCAGGTTCTGTAGGTTCTCCAGCCAGGTTCTGTAGCCAGGTTCTGTCTCCAGGATCTTCAGCCAGGTTCTCTCGCTAGGTTCTGACTCTAGGTTCTGTCTCCAGTTTCTGTCCAGGATCTTTTGCCATGTTCTCTCGCTAGGTTCTGTCTCTAGGTTCTGTCTCCAGTTTCTGTCCAGGATCTTTTGCCATGTTCTCTCGCTAGGTTCTGTCTCTAGGTTCTGTCTCCAGTTTCTGTCCAGGATCTTTTGCCATGTTCTCTCCAGCAAAGTTCTTCTGTCTAGGTTCTGTGTCTAGGTTCTGTGTCCTGTTGTCTTGTGACATCTGTATTTATACCAGTTGGTTCCAATCCTATCAATCTCTATTCCAAAGGTTAGGGCGTTTCTTATCTCCATTCCAGGGAGTAAAGATTATGTAAGTTAAGCATGATTGTTCGTAGTTAAAGTGATTAATTACCCGCCTGGCACTTAGTTAAAGGGTTTTATTCCCTCCCTAACTTCAGGGGAAAATCCCTACCTGGGGAAACAACCTTTCTCAGAGAGGTGACCTTGGTTAAAACACATGGTGCCAAGAAGGTGAGCAAACATATTAAGAACAGTATGCCATCTATGCCAGGACCCTTGAAACAGCAAGCATGGACCGGCTCCCGGCAAATAAATCTACAAACAACAAGTGTTGGTGAGCATGTGGAAAAAGGAAACCCTTGTGTTCTATTGGTGGGATTATAATGGTGTAGCCATTAGAGCAAACAGTATGGAGGTTCCTCAAAAAAATTAAAAATGGAACTGCTCTATGACCCAGCAATTCCACTTCTGGGTATACATCTGAAGAAACCCAAAACACTAATTTGACAAGATACATGCACCCCTATGTGCATTGCATAGTTATTTAAAATAGCCAAGAGACAGAAGCAACCTAAGTGCCCATTAATAGACAAGTGGAGCAAGAACCGGTTTGGCTCAGTGGATAGAGCGCCAGTCTGAGGACTCAAGGGTCCCAGGTTTGATTCCGGTCAAGGGCATGTACCTTGGTTGCGGGCATATCCCGAGTGGGGGCTTGCAGGAAGCAGCTGATCAATGTTTCTCTCTCATTGATGTTTCTGGCTCTCTGTCCCTCTCCCTTCCTCTCTTAAAAAAGAAAAAAAAATCAATAAAATATATTTTTAAAAAAATAGACAAGTGGATAAAAAAAAGTGGCGCTATATATATATATATACAGTGCAATATTAGTCAGCCATGGAAAAGAATGAAATCTTCCCATTTGTGACAGTACAGATAGACCTAGACAGTATTATGCTAAGTGAAATAAATAGAAAAAGACAAATACCATAAGATTTCACTTATATGCAGAATCTAAAGAACAAAATAAATGAACAAACAAAACAGAAACAGACTCAAATACAGAGAACAAACTGATGGTTGCCAGAGAGGAGGGCAGTTGAGGGACTGGGTGAAAAAGGTAAAAGGATTAAGAAGTACCATATTGCCAAAACCGGTTTGGCTCAGTGGATAGAGCGTCGGTCTGTGGACTGAAAGGTCCCAGGTTTGATTCCGGTCAAGGGCATGTACCTGGGTTGCGGGCACATCCCCAGTAGGAGATGTGCAGGAGGCAGCTGATCGATGTTTCTCTCTCATCGATGTTTCTAACTCTCTCTCTCCCTCCCTCTCTGTAAAAAATCAATAAAATATATTTAAAAAAAAAAAAAGAAGAAGTACAATATTCACAGGGATGTAAGGTACAGCATAGAGAATGTGATAAATAATATTGTAATAACTATGTATGGTGCCAGGTGGGTACTTTAAATATCAAGGGATCACTGTAAATTATATGGTTGGGTAACCACTATGATGTACACCAGAAACTAATATAAAGTAGTATTAAATGTCAACCAAAATTGAAAAATACAATTTTTTTTAAATGATAGCTTTCACATAGAATTCCAAATTTTCTACTTCTCTTGAGATGTCAAAAGATTTAACAGTTCAAGGGTTCCCACCCCAAAACATTCTAAATCACCTTCCTTTGCCACACCCAGTCCTTTACTATCCTCTTTACACGCTTGTGCTTTGTATCCCTATTCAGTTCCTTTGTTGTTGTTACTCCTCAGTTGAGGACATTTTTCCATTGATTTTTAAAGAGGGAGAGACAGAGATAAACACTGATGTGAGAGAGGGGCACATCGATTGGCTGCCTCCTGCACACACCCTGACCAGGGCAGAGGAACCTGCAACTGAGGTACATGGCCTTAACTGGAATCGGACCCAGGACCCTTCAGTCCGCGCACCAACGCTCTATCCACTGGGCCAAACCAGCTAGGGCTTTTGTCCCTATTCTTTAGGTGGGAAACCTGAAGCATCTTAATCCAGGAAGTGATATTGTATTTGCATTTTAGAAAGTATTTTACATCATTCTAAAGCTAGAATTATAAGTAAAAGAAAAACAAGCTGCTGAAGAATATACACAGTTTGACACCATTTTTTATCAAAGCTTTAAAATATGTGAAACCTCATGTTATTGACAAACACATACATAAGTAATAAAGGTATATAATAATGTATAGGAATGCTAATCTATAAATTTGAGAGACGTGCTGCC